TCAGAGTCCTGAAGAAAAAGAAAATGAAAAAGAAAATTTTCTAATTCTTCTTCTGTCACCTGTTCTCACTTCACCGGCAACTTTGCAAGTTACCATTAATGATTCAATTACTTGTTTTTACTGGTAAAGCGAATAAGCAGCCTAATAAGTTCTTGCATGAATACCAACAGAAAATGCGAACGTTATTTCTGGCTGGTGATTCGCAATTACTGCGAAATATTAGTAATTGGCTCATAGATGTAGCTGGTGTCTGGTATTTACAGCTTTCCCAAGGTCATCATTTGCTGGATACGTAGCATAAGTTTAAAAAGTTGTTCTTGTCTCGTTTTCCTAGTCCTGAAAGGATAGCTTCGAAAATTGAACGTAGCCGTTGTGTTCAAACAACAGCTGACTTCTATCAAAGATATTTGAGTCTAAATTTGGAAATTAATCCAAAAATCAAAGAAAATTTACTAAAAATATACTTTCTTCGAAATTTGAGACCTGAACTTGTTGTTTGGATGAAAGGTGATCCGCAAGAATGTCATTGGACGAGATACTCAAAAAGGTCGAAGAAGCTGAGATACAGTTATTGTACCGAAGAAAAGAAATCCAGAGATCACTGCCTAATAGATGGATTTCTACGAATTCTAATTGTGATAAGAATGAAGGAAACCCACAGGAATTAACGAAATCGTTAACTCGGCAGCTGGTGCGATTGAAAACACCCTTTTCGTTTCACAGTATAGCAAAGAGAACGGTTGTTGTTGCTAATCTTGACGCACCTTCTTCTCCATCAACAAATTCTTCTGGTCAAGAAAATCAGACAGCTAAATCTTCTGTTTTTCTAACTAAAAATGATAGAAATCGACCAAGTTTTCCTCAAAATCGGCAAACAAACTTTTTTGGACGAAATAATAATAAAGCAAAACTTAGCTGACATCCCATACTATTCACAAGTGCTCGACTGAACAGTCTAAGAACGGGGAAAAATCGAAGCCTTGAAATCGCTATCGCGGTTTAAATCGCGGCTAAAGCCCGGTCGTGATGGAGAGGAGCTTTCTCGACCTACTATTGATTCTACATCGTTACCATTTTCTTCTTTATTAGAAATGCCGTGAACTCCGTCAGCACCCAAATCAGCGGCTATTAAACAAAAAGTGGGGATTAATTTAACACTTATTGAGAATTAATCCGCAGAAAAATCACCTAACTATAGTTCTTCTCAAGCCGAGTCTTCTTCTTCGTCATCTGTATCTAATGAGACGATTGTTTCGTTATCAACTTCAAAAACGATAATATATGATCAAAACTATAATTGTCAGATGATTTCAACCGTGAAAACACCCAAAATTATAAGAAACCAAAGAGAAAACTAAACAAGAAGGAAAAGCTACACTTGGAAAGGATTCTCTCTTTAAAACAGAATCTAAAGGCTTTGTTGCTATAGTTTTGAAATCAGAAAGCAAAATAAAAGAGAATGCCACTTCTTCTTATACTTCAACTTGTTTTTATACTATCAAAAGAGGTTGTGCATCCCCCAAAGGAAAATTACTGGGTACTATAGGCATTTTTACTTTAGATACAGGTGCTGGTGTTAGTATTGTCAGTTTCGACTACTGGTGGCTTTTTAAAAAGGAACCGAGGCTGTTTTTCCTTATTCTGGAGCGGATATTGTAGGTTCAGAAGGCAGTTCTATTGGACCAGTCGGCTGGGTTGAAGCTGATATTACGTTGGCAGGACAAACTTTTGGACATCCGATTTATGTGTTTTTCGTAAAATATCAATAGCTCCTGATCTAAGACAGATGAAAACTTTTTCTTTTTACTAAAATGTAGCCACGACTCTACTGTATCTAGGATTTAATATTTTGTGAGTTGGTTGTTAGTAGTCAGTGAAATACCGCTATTTTACGGGCGAGGACCCTGAAAATGAAGTTGTGAGTTATGAGATGCTTTCCAAGAAAAATTCATAACCCATTCTAGGAACATCAGTTCCACGTCAAACTCACAGCGATGGAGAAGCGGAAGGTTAACTATTGTGTGGTTCTGTAAATTCATTGAGAACGAGTACTCACGATTGAAACATACGTAGAAGAGCGAGGGTGAGGAACTAAGGGTCGCTCTTTCTACTGTAGAATCTGTACTCAGTGCGCATCATAATTATGAAAAAATAATCAAGTCAAATAATTTCCTGTGGTTCCGAAAAAGAAATACACTACCACAATCCTTCGATGGATAACAAACGGAAAAATACACATTTCACTTTTGATAAAACTACGAAAGTAAATTGTGCACTTCTGTTATATCTCTTGTTGAACGATTGAAGTTATGCAATATCTAGCGACGGCTATTAGAGTGTGATAATGGGTTTAATGAACTATATCACCTGACACTCAGTTTAACCTGCGAAAAGGAGTCGTTTTACTAGAGCAAGAGTATGCGCAGACATGACGATCTATTTTAGATGAAAGTCCTATCGACACTGTTTTCAAATTTTCAAAACATCCGCATGTTGTCCATCCGATTCTCAACCTTCTCGGTCATTTAACAAGATCAGACCACATGAGGCACGATTTTCTCACGAGGGGACACATCGATGAAAGCCCAAATCTTTAGGGCAGATAGAAGAGAATAATTATCGCTATTAAAAATAAAAGTCAAAGGTATATGAGAAGAGCTGCTAAGATTTAGAAATTTAGTCGCTATATGTCCAGCTTTCAAACCGTTTAATGCACGACGCTAGCTTAATTTCTATATATATCCAAGGAGTGCAAAGAAGAAAGAGCAATACTCGATCTGCAAACATTCCGAAGGACTATTGAGGCGAACTTGTAATGTGAAAAAGTTCAAGAAGATCGAAGTTTGACAAAATCAAACTTTTTCTGCTGATTGTAACTTTTACTAAGATTGATAAAAAGCACTCTCTTACATCCAGTTTTGTAGAGAAAACACAGTTTGCTAGATTTAAAACACTAATCCTTCTAGAAATAATATCTTTAGATACATACGGGGTACCAATTATAGTTGCTGTCATTTCACTTTGACTAGTTAACACTCTAAACATAAAATCACTATTTTATTTTTTTGGTTTGAAAGCAGACAAGATCTGTACTTTGCAATTCCGAAGTCTCCCACTCTGATATTTCCGTCCTTTTTTAAAAATATATTTTGCGTTTTTAAATCGCGATGTAAAACATTTCTTTTATGCAGATACTATAATAATAATAACAACAACAGATATGATGTGTAAATTATACGGATTTTAGGAGATGGTTCATGAGCGCATTTAATATTATCGGAAAAGAAAATTCTTATCGTCTCATTTGATTCTCCATACAAAATTAGGCCTTTGAAAAAAGTTTGAACCTTCTAAACACTTGAAATTAAATTTCAATATTAATATTTAATTCTTCAATATGTTGAATTTGAGAAAACCTCAAAGTTTCTTTTAAATCACAAATGTCGACTAAGCTTGCTTACCCAGAAATCGGAAAACCCTGCGCATTTTTTTTATGGCTGATAATTTTGTTCAATATGAACTTATTTTGAAGTATATTCATGGGTCACAAAGTACCTTACACTGTTGTACATTGTTGGCGACTAGAAAAGAAAATGGAGCAACGTGACCTTAATTTCATTTTTCGCTTACTAGAGCACAATCTTTTCAGTTCAAATAAACGCGAAATCTGTGCAAAAGACGGATTCGAACCATGTGCTGTTAGATAATTCTGAAGGTTTACTACTTTACTTTAGTCAAAATATCAGAAAAGAATTGAGCTCATGCGCTTTTTATTGAAAAAATATTTTTCCCTTAAAAATACATTCGAAGCTGTATTGTTCGTTATAAACTTCTGCTTCATACTGAAATCTTAAAAAAGGCTAGAAGTGCGTTTTCAACTGGAAAAAATTTGTTTTCAAGAAAATTGCCGAAAGGAAACCCTTGACTAGTTATTTTTGGAGATTTAAACACTTCATATAGCACATGGTTCGAATCCGTTTTTAGCATAGATTTCGAATAAATCGTGATCCATGAATGTACTTCAAAATAAGTTCATATTGAACAGAATTATCAGCCATGAGAAAAATGCACAGGGTTTTCGGATTTCTGGGCAAGCAAGCTTAGTTGACATTTGTGATTTAAAAGAAACTTTGAGGTTTTCTCAAATTCAACATATTGAAGAATTAAAAATTTGGCATAGTCTTCGACTAACTAAATAGGCCTTTTGTTCACTTTTCTATGCGCTATCGAATGAGGTATCGTACAAAAATACAATTGAAAATCTTTGTTCTACACTAAAAATGCTGGTTTTTCAGCAAAAAATAATGGGACTGCTTTTTGTTTGAAAAAATGATGGGACTTTTCGGAAAATTTTAATTTCAAGTGTTTAGAAGGCTCAAACTTTTTTCGAAGGCCTAATTTTGTATAGAGAATAGGAGTATAGCCGTAGCGGATTTTCGTCTCAACTATCAACAATAATTTATCAGTTGACATTCTGGACTGTCAACGTTGAAATCCACTGGTCTAAGATTCTTAAGAGAGTGAAATCTTCATCTTTTCCACGTAAAGCTTTGACTTGAATGAAGATCTCTCGTCAATCAAAATGTTTTGAGAAATTTATCCGTTTTCTGGCAGGAAACGAGCAGAATGAGAAATTCTATGTTATTCTGCTCGTTTCTTGCCTCTTTTTTTCAATTTTCTTTCGCATGATTTTTCTCAATGATTTTCGGTCTAGAAGTCATCATACTTATACTGAGCTACAGTTTAACGACATCTAATGACATAGTTTTTCACGTTGACCGTTGAGAACGTCAACTGACGACATGCAGTTGACAGTCCAGAACGTCAACTGACAAGATACCGTTGAGAGTTTAGAACGTCAACTGACGAGATACAGTTGACAGTTGAGAACGTCAACGGCAAAAAACCGTTCCAGTTCCGTTCAAATTTTTGCCAAACCAACGTGAACGGCTACAGCCCTAATGGAGAATCGAATGAGACGATAACAATTTTCTTTTCCGCTAATGTTCGATGCGCTCGTGCTCCGTGCGTACTTCCAGTGCCTGACATAGTTGAGCAAACCATTCACCAATTTGTTCTTCACTTAATCGGTGTTGATAATGTTTACATTCGTTCAATTTTTTATCAAGTGTACCATTTTCACAATGCTCCATAACAATATTCAAGAAACCATTTGCAAAAAAGGAGTCAACATATGAAACAATATTCGTATGTGTGAATTCTGCTAATAACTGTGCTTCCAACGTGGCACTTTGAACATCTTTCTGAGATTTCTGACGCAAGTCTAACTGCTTTATTGCGACCTGTAAGTGATACAAAGTGATGCTCATAAATATTCAGGAGACAGTTCCTGTATAGCTGAGGCACCTGTTGATTTTTAAATTTATGTAATGCCAAAAACACCTCTCCATATGTACCTTTACCAATTTGTTGAAGCATTTCGTACTTGTCCATTTTGTCTATTATAACCTATACACAGGATACACTAAAGATAGTTCGGGGTTGTTCTTTTGATGATTTGATAATTAATTATCGACAAGTTGTCTACGAAAATTAGTTGTTTCATTTCCCGCCTTATCGACGCTATAATATTATTCGATCAGGCTGAAATTTCGAAAACTGACTCACCTCTCTATGGTGTACATGAAAAACAGTAGTTATTGAACCATCTATTAATATCGTTCCATGAGAAAGGCTCCCAACACACAAGTTTCTTAACTGTAATATGCAACATCAATTGTAGTTGGAAAACAGTGATTGAAGTTTTGATTAAACAAAGTATTATTATTATTATTTCACCTTTTATTTGTGAGTTCATCAAGATCTTGCTGGAGAGAAGAAGAGTAAGTTCATAATGACGTAAAAGGTCTTGAAATTCAAAAATTCATAGCGTCAATGTTAGGGATGTTTGATTCTCACTGAGAAAAAAAAATGTATATATATAAGCGTCCGTAGCAGATCAGAGAGAAAAAAATGTTTTTTTCTTCACGGGCACGGACAAGAGCGGGTAGCGAAAAAAATCCTTAGATGGGCATGGACAAGTGAATCATCGACTCTTGCGCACACAGGATCCCGACGCTTCCGCAAAGATTGATGTGAGGAAAACGGATCTTTAGAGAAGTAATAAAACAACTACTGGTAACTCATTAGAATTTTAGTATGGCTTCATCCTGAACTAATTTCATACCAGACAAGCACTCAAAAAGCTCAAAAGGATTCATACTGCGCCCTGCAAATATGTCTTGTTCTTCTCTCCAGCAAGATCTTGATGAACTCAAAAACAACGAGTGAAATAATAACAATAATTTGTTTAATCAAAAATTAAAAACTTGTATTTTTGATATAAAAATTTCTCTTATATATTACTTATGAAATGCTTGTTTTCAAATTGACTAACTATTGGCATAGCAATGCTGGTAAATAAAATGTTGTAAGCGGTGAGGTAACCTTTTTTATATAAACTATGAAAAAAATTTTTCATTCTTCCTTGTTCGATCGTTAATTCACCTTGGTAAAAACCAGCATACATTTCTTCGAGAAAAAATCACGTGTTTAAGAAACAACATGTTAAAAATTTTGCATTATACAGTCTTCGCCAAAAGTAGCGGGCTCCCTGTAACTCAAGAACCATAATAGCTACGGACGTCTAATTTTGTGTGGTCATAGCTCTTACCGAATGCTGATCACACACCAAGTTTAGGCATCTTTTACTAGATAGTTCATGAGATATAAACGATTTATGTCTTTTTCGTACAATATCAATAGCTTCTGATCTAAGACAGATGAAAACTTTTTCGTTTTACTGAAATGTAGCCACGACTCTACTCTATCTACAATATAATCTTTTATGAGTTGGCTGTTAGTAGTCAGTGAAATACAGCTATTTTAAGGGCACGGTTCGCTGTTTTTTTTGTTGAAAATTCGAGGTCCTTTGCGAAAAAATTTATAACCCAGCCTAGGAATATTCCTTTGGTTCAAAAATTGCAGCAAATATCCGGCATTACCTTTGGATTATTCGCCCAAAGTTTTCAGGTTAATTATTGTATAGTTTCAGAAATTTATTGAGCATTAGAAAATTTGATGCTTGCTCCGCGCTGAAATAATTAACAATATAATGCATTATCATTCACTAGTGCAGCTAACGCAAGGGGGGAAAGGCGGATCCGGGATCCATGCGGATCTACGCGGATCTACGCGGATTCATGCGGATCTTTTTGGATCCATGCGGAAACCCGGATCCGCGGATCCGCTTTTTCCCCCTTGGATCAAGCTCTAAATAACTTTTCTATATGCAATCGGACATGGAGAACCCAAATATGAAGGAATTAAGTGTTAGAAGTGCGGAGAAAAATAACTATACAGCGTTTTTGACAGAAAGCCACTTTTGCCCATACTGAGTATTTCAAGGTTTTCTCCTTGAAGAAAGGGTCTAGAATTTTTTTCAAGGTGATATTCTTGTAGAGCTCGTCGAACTCATCGAATGATGTGAGTTTAAAGCAAATCTATCCACTGCTTGAAGTTTGAATTAGGCGAACCTTATAAAGTATTCTTGATCGAATTGACTTTCGAAGACGCATGAATTTAATGCAACACATTATTTTTGCGAAAGAAGACGTGCTTATAACAACATCTAAGTAAGAAATATAAGAGGATTTGATAAAAGTTATTGAAAGATCTATTATTACAAATAAAGTAAAAATTCTCGACCGTATTTAGATGGACATAAATTTAAGAAGAATTCGAGAAAACGGATCAAGTAGTAAATCGAGACTTGATCATGTACAACGAATCTGGAAAAGATCCTGACAGGAACTGGATAATATGTCTTGTCAGAAAAAATCATGACAAAAACCTGATGAAATCTTCAAATTCCTGCCCAGATTTTGTTCTGAATTAATAATGCAAAATCTTAGCAGGAATAACAGAAAGGATTTTCAAGAAATTCTGAAAAGGATCCTGTTTAACCATGAGACATCCTACAAACAGGAAGTACTAGGATTAGAGACAAGATCTTGAACAAAACCTGACAGGATCCTGCAAGATCCTTCCTCGCTTTCTCAACGAATGAACAAGATTGAGACTAGGATATTGTTTATACAAAGATTCAAATCAAGATCAGTATAAAAATCGTAGTAGAATTCTAAATCCTCAGAGTTCTGTGAGGTTCAGAATAAAAACACAATAAAATCTTGAAAAACCATTGCATTTATTACTGTTGAGATTTTATTTAACATTGGTATATGAAATTCCGTTGTGATGTATAGATTTATCAATCTTGAACGAATCCTAAACAAAAACCAGCTACAATCTTGATGAAACAAACCTTTTCATCCATTTTTGCTAGGATCCTGAACAGGATCAGTTATAAATCTTGACAGGATCCTGAAAATCAAATCCTGAATAGACTCTAAACACAAACCTGCAAAGATCTTAACTAGATCCTTGTATTTCCTCATCAAGATCCTGATGATGATTGATATTGTTGTGTAAGGATACGAAATGCTTATACCTGAAGAGTTTCGCGCAGGATCCTGGAAAAGTCTAGGAAAGTGCCTACAAGAATAAATAGGAATTGGAAAAGGATTCTGATCAAATCTTAGCAGAATTTATCAGTTTATGGTTGTGGCTGATCCTGTTATCTTCTTGGTAAGATCCTCTTCTGATATAATTATAACTCTTGACAAGATCCTTTATCAGGATCCAGAACAGGTCTTGACTAAAACCTGATAAACCTTGACCGAATCCTTTCTTTTATTCTTGTCAGGATCCCGAGTAGGATCGAGAGCGAATCCTAGTAGGATTCTGCATTGTCAATTCAGAAAAAAATCTGAGTGGGAAGTTGAAGAAATCCTGAAAAGGATCTTGCTTAACCATGAGAAATGTTGTAAACAAAAATTATCAGGATTCGAGACAGAATCCTGAATAAAACTTGACAAGATCCTTGAAATTCAAGATCCAGAAAGATCTTTCTAGGCTTTCTTCAGGAATGAACAGAATTGAGAATAGGGTAATGTCGATAGTAGAAAAAAAATATTGAACAATTTAAGTTTAACATCCATCCGAATAACATAGGCATTCATTATTGCTGATAGGCGTGTTGCATGAAAACGGAAACGACTAGTGAGGTTAACGATTTACAAACTAAGCTCGTTCTACCAACCATATCAAATAAGCAAGGTTTCCGTTTTCTTCTCGTATTTTGAGGATATAGTAATTTTTTTTTGTATTAAAGGTCCTGCGATCTTGAAAAACTCTATAACTATCATCTACGAGTTCTAGTATCTCAACACAACAATAAAACGACCATTTTTTATTTTCATTCAATAGGATATACAAAAGAACCAGGAGATGATACAAAAGAGAAGAAAACGTAGGAAAGTGTCTTCAGAATTTTCGGATGTGAAACCTTTTTAGAAAATCTTTCGAAAATACAGTTCCACTTGTTTAAGGATTTTTGCAATTCCGACTTTTATTTCGTTGTTTAACTTTATTTGATGCATGTTTTTTACAGAAGAGTGTAGTGAATTTGTGAAGCAAAATATATGAAATTTAAAAAAATTGAACATTACAATTTTCAGAGTTCAAGTAAAAAGTTACCAAACACGTTAGTTATAAGATAAATACGTGCTTTTTGTCTTTCTTTGTTGTACTGATCTTTTTTCCTGCTTTCTACCTGAAGATTCAAAGGTATCGATAATTCTATTCTACGTTTTCTCTCTCGAATACATGCAGAACATAGAAACTATTCCTTGACAAATATACGTCACTTTTTTCATTCACTTCAGACATAATATAAAGAACGCTTACGAGCTTATTGTTGTTTTAATTTACTATCGGTATAATTCAATAAAGTTCAACAATGCAGGAAGATGAAGAAGATTTTGGACAAAAAGACCCACCATTATACAAATGTATACAAGGAATCCTTCGTCGGTATCCACAAGGGGGACAGATATTAAAAGTAATTCATTTCTGAATATGTTGCATTGTAGTCCAGACAAATCTTATGTTTCTTTAAGGAACTGATTCAAAATGCCGAAGACGCGAATGCTACCCTGGTTCAGTTCTATATCGATCGTAATACATATCCAACCAAAAGTTTACTTCATCCAGGATTGGCTGTATTTCAGGTAATAAATTTGTTGCCTAGAAAGAACGCTCGTTACTAAAATTTTCTCAGGTATGTTTATGGTTAACCATAAACATACCATCAGAAAATTTTTGTCATAAAAGTGCCGCCTTCCTTACTGTAAGAGTTTAAGTGTTATGTGCTTGGCCTGCTGCGGACTTAAAAAGTTTGAGCTCAGCCGGATATTTTTTCGTACACACATAACTTTCTTCATAGATCACACGAGTTTCAAAACTTGTTCTGTGATAATGCACTTCAATATTTTGCATTGATTCATCTTCATATTCGTATTTATTAAACATTACATCAGTCACATAAGTTCATA